AGACTAGAGTTGTCAGCAAGTTAGACTGGAGTTGTCAGCAAATTAGACTGGAGTTGTCAGCAAATTAAGAATTTTAGTATAACAGCAAGTAACGAGTGAAGAATTTTAGTAAAATAGCAAGTAACTAGTGAAGAATTTTAGTAAAATAGCAAGTAACAAGTGCAGAATTTTAGTATAACAGCAAGTAACAAGTGCAGAATTTTAGTATAACAGCAAGTAACAAGTGTAAGAATTTTAGTATAATAGCAAGTAACAAGTGAAGAATTGTAGTTCACTTATCAGGTTAATGTTACTCAACAGTTTTTACACACACTATTAAATAAGTTACAACTCTTGAATTGCATCATAAAAATAAAAACTACTGATAACCTTACTCTCAATTTCCTCATACAAAAGTTTAAGAATCAGTAAAACTGAACAGTACTCATGGAAACAGCATATGAATAAGTGCCACTGAATGAACTCCCAACAGGAACACCTATGAATAAATGTATATATTTGCAGCAGTAAAACATTAGTGTGTGTATGTTTGTAAAATGTATGGTGAGAGAAAGGCTTAAAAATTAGCATTTGATGTAGTTATACATGTATTGTAAAACTGGGATACGTCATCATCATAGTATCACTCAAAGCATTTATATATACTCTACAAACCTATTTGGAACAATAAGTTGGTAGGAAACATTAAGAGTAAACTATATATTATAAGACTGTTGTTAATGACTATAATAAGCAGCATAAGTTCTCTTCTTAAATGTAGTACTTTCAAATAGGAATATGTACACAATAGGCATAAATAATAAAAGGTCATATCAAATACAGTTTTATCAGTTTAGCTTTCAGTTGCACTGTGAAATTTATACCAATCTACTTCACATATTAAGTCCATGTGTTAATATGACAGGTATTTTTGAAAGATGCTTAATTTGAAAGACCATGTTCTTGTGTTAATGGATGAAAGAAGCTGCTAGAAATTGACTGAAATATTTAGATTAGAATTTTTAAAAATAGAGAGAGAAAGTTACAATGGAGTATCAATTGTGATATGCAACAAAAATGATCATGCATCATAGAAGTTTGGGAGAGTTATTGCAATGTGCAAACACAAAAACATCGTACCAGGATGGCAGTATCTGAAGGATGGTGTAGGTTTAGCACTGACAACAGTGGTAAAGCTTACATTCTAGTTGCCAATGTTCTTCATGGACAAATTTTCATTCATGTATATTGTCACATGCTGAAACTCTGGTTATTTAAAGATGTTCAGTCAGTCTATTTGCTATTGTTCTGTAGCAGAATTGGTGACACTTCATGGCTATGCTTCATGATTCAAATATTGCAAAATATTTTCATATTGATCATACTAAAGCTTCGAGTGTCTTCACTCATGCTCTTTTTTATGTAACATAAGAAACTGCTAAAAACCAAGTTAAGAAGCAATTTGAAGTGTTATTGGTCAAATATTCAAGAATGTGTAGTCACCTATTTGTTAGAGTGAAGCGTTTGTCAAGCACAAATAGAAACTTTTTACCACCTCATCATGCTTATGAGTGATAATACGGTGCTATATCATCTTGTTTTATCCACTGATGGTCTGCATGTAAACACATCATTTCACATGGAACCAACTCTGCAAAATACTCCGGAATTATCATGATTAGTTGCACTTGGAACATTCAGCATTTTACAGTTAACAGTTTCAAATTCGATGACAAACTGGATTTTCAAAGTTAGATTGGAACATTTAAAGCATACCTTCTGCTCAAATAGAAAATAATTCAAATGTACAAGTTCTCAGCACTCTGTGTAAACTTCCATTTCTCATTCCACTGTGATTGTGTATCAAAATAAAATATGTGGATCTTGCAAACACAAAAGAATTGCTCATTTCCTGAAAGATATAACCTATGAAGCACACAACTCAGTTTCCTTCTATTCATCTAATCCAGTTATGAAAGATTTCTAAAGTTGGTTTAAAAAAAAAGAACCCATGATACACATGTTTTATTTGGAATTTTATAGCCTTGTTAAAATTGATGTTGAAATTTCTTAAAACTGAAAATGTTGCTGAGGCATCTTCTTTAGAGACACGGATGTTACTGATAAGAACTTACATCTGAAAACTGGTGCTATCGAAATAGAAATTAAGTTATACAGCTTGATTATGAAATATAGTAATTTAAAAGAACATATCTATAAACATGAATCTATAAGAAATGTAGTAATGAGGACAAAGCAACAAAAATAACACCAAGTTAGATATTATAGTACAAGGCTTGAAATTAGTAGTGGCCATTGGATTCTAGTGATTGGTCATTGACTTCCAACATGCATTGATATTGTTTTTATAAGTTGATAGTTTGCAAATGATTATGAATATTTGGACCATTTGCAAGAAGTAAGTTGTTAGTATTATGATAATAAATCAATAAGACTTTTCCAGTAGTGTGTTGTACCTCATTCTCATACATCTTTCAGCAGGATTCTCCAACTGAAAAAAAATAGTACATTCAAGCAGGGTTTCAGTTATATCATGCAACTCGTGACCATTTTGTTCAAGTGACCCAAAATTGTCACTTGTCATACTAGAATTAAAGCACTGTAGTCACTGAGAATGAATCAGTTTACAGATTTTACACCTCTATAGAGGTGTTGTCTGATTGGAATACCTAACAGTCATGGAACCATGCACATATACCAAACTCAAGAACAAGGTAAATAAATTTAGGGAAAATAAATATATTTATCCAAATAAATTATTATAATTACAAATCCTACAGTATTGATTTGTCTATACAGGAAGTTTTATCTATAAGAAAACACTAAAATTAGTGTTACATGGTGCAAAAAATACTTTTAAGTTGCATATTTTGGAATACAAATATAAACAAGAAACATGATGATTTAAAATTTTTCTACAGTTGAAAACAAAGACACCATAAATGATCATTGAAAAAGCAGATTAAGACGGTATACATAATGGCCAAGAAAGTTTTGAATTGAGGAGAAAATTTAAAGCAGATATGTAGAAATAAAGAAACAAAAGAGAGCCTTCTACTTTCCTACCAAATAATTAAATTACAATTTAATGTGAGAACAGTTATTGATACTAACAAAGTATCTAGTCAGCTTATCGACTGAGTTACATATGACCAAAGTCACCATGACAAAAACCTTGGCACCATCAGTGTCACTTAATTTTGTTTCACTGTGTGAATAATGTTGCAATCAATTTTAACAGGTTAATAGGATGTGAGCTGGCATCATGTATAAAGAAACTGAAGAGAAAGTTAAAATTATATATAAAACACACATTTCACTAAAGTAACAAAATTGTTTATGCTAATGCATTTAAAAATTTAAAGTAGACATTGCCATACTAATTACAAGACATTTTGTAATTAAAACATATTTCGGTTAATAGATTACTGAAAATGTTTTATATATTTATTTTTTGTGAGAAATCACAACCGTTTCAGTTCTCAAATTACCCACTTTCTCATACCATTCATTACAGTGGGATCCACATAGACGATATTATGTAATTTTATATTTTTACCAGTTACAACAATCATTTTAAGAGAACTGATCCAAATATTAGGTAAAATCACTCATCTTCCACATAACATGTATTGGAAACCACAGCAGTAATTAATGGGCTTAATTATAATATTGATGCTACATTTTTTGATGTGAGACTCGTCTTAATTAGGAACCCTGTAACCAACAAAGTCAAGGGCCCACAAACATTTTGATAATGAAATAGTTTAGAAACTTCCACATAACATGTATTGGAAACCACAGTGGTAATTAATGGGCTTAATTATAATATTGATGCTACAGTTTTTGATGTGAGACTCGTGTTAATTAGGAACCCTGTAACCAACAAAGTCAAGGGCCCACAAACAGTTTGGTACTAAAATAGTTTAGAAACTTCCACATAACATGTATTGGAAACCACAGCAGTAATTAATGGGCTTAATTATAATATTGATGCTACATTTTTTGATGTGAGACTCGTGTTAATTAGGAACTCTGTAACCAACAGTCAAGGGCCCACAAACAGTTTGGTACTAAAATAGTTTAGAAAAATTTATTTAAAATGTCAATAGGGTCCATGTGGTAATTATTATCTCTTAATGACAAGAATAAGCAGACTGTAGTCTGAACTAGATTCAACTTATATGATGCACAAATGAACAGTTACTGTATTTTATCCTAATAGTCTATTAACATGGTTTTTTACCCCACATTAGTTTGAAGTAACATCATACCAGTGTAATTTATGTTGAAATATATTTCAAAACAACACAAACCGTATCTTTGTATATGTTGGTATTTATTAGTTAGCTTTGCTTGCATATTTGAATTTCGTGATTGTTTGTGTATTTTCATCCAAGAAAAAGTAAAAAGGAACATTCAGATTGGTTTTCATTACTCCATTAATGTATCATCTATTTTATTCTGTTCTTGTTAATTCAGATTTGTTTTCAACTTGTTTGTAATATTTTTCTAGGTAGATGTCTGAAATCTTGTATGGATTGGCACGTCTACCTATATGATACATGTAGTGTATTAAAGAGTACAACAGAAACTATTCTTGAGTACATGTGCATAGTAGTAGTATGTGTACTTGTTGTTGTTTTTTCAGTTCTGTCACGAAACATTGTTTATTGATTATATGGCTGATAGCCAGGTTCATAAGAATATAATCAGTACAGTTAAACTGTAATAAATGTTTTATTTGTTAATTTTCAGATAAAACATTGTTGGTTGCTTATTGATCATGAAGTATTGCAAAATTTAACATACAAGCAGGCAAGATAATATTACTTAAAACTGGAAGTCGCCAGTATTACTCGTATAAAATCCATACAATAAATAACAACAATGATCACCCTTTGTATCAGTAAACAATAACTATCAATTAACTGAAGAAGAAAACATAAGAAGATGAATTCATCAAGGTATGCACAGGTCCTGGATGGTACTTGAATTTAAGTATCAAAGTATCCAGGACTTTTTGCTTGCTCACCTTATCAAAGAATATGTCATTTATTTTAATAAAAATGTGAACATTTTGAAGCCAAAAATTATTTGCTGTTTGTGTTCTAGCTATAGCATAAAAATGTGCAACTGACTGTAAACCAAGTGTTTGTGCACATGCACTGTCTATCCTTACAAAACTGACATGTAAGTGTGCAAAATTGCTGAAAACACACTATACCAGTACTAACTATGTTAACCACATGCTTTCAAAACAGCTGAAACCTCATGTTTGGGTTCAAATTAGTTTATTTCTTCCTTCACATTTCTAAAGGCCATTTTCAATTGTATATAGTTGTACTTGTAGACCAAAGTTCACAAATAACATTTTCATTTACTCACTAATGGTACAACAACTAAGGTACAAATAAATATAAACAGCTTTACAACTAACTGTTCAAGTAGCTGAATGCGTGCGATAACTAACACTGTTCCAAATACTTCACTGAAAAAATGATGCTCTACCAACTGAAAAATTGACTTCTTACCCATATTTATACTAATTTACCCACCTAGATCTTAGTTGAACTTACTAGATCTTAATGTCTCATCCACCCTCTAGTTAGCATCTAAATCTAAACATTGAAAGTACCGCTTACAACAGTATGACAAACAAAAATTATACTTATATACTAGTTGCAGACAAAATTAGTTATGTATAAAAAAAAAGCACTACTTTGACATAAACTTGCCAAAATTACAAATGTACAGAGAAATATGTTTTGTTTACTAATGTTGTTATTAAACTAAAAAATCTGTAATTTAGTGAAATAATCATAATTTTGTTGATATTTAGTTCTTCACAGCTCTAAATCTTGTAAAAATAGTCTTATCGTACTTTTCTTATATCTGCTCCATCATTTGTCAAATAGCTTGCAAATTGTATCCCCTCCCTGTTGTCATCTTTATGTATATCACATTCATGATTACAACCAAAAAATTTAGTGTAATGAAAAATTAAGTTATTAGCATGAGCTTGCAACTAAAATTATGTACAGAATTCAGTTTTAAAAATTTAAACTGAAATGTTACTTGTTTCTTCTTTAAAGTGCTTGTGTTAGCATGCATACTACCTTTTATTTATTTTTTTTACACATGAATGTTACATCTGTTGGAAAAATGCTAATGGCATTGTGTTTCTGAAAGAAGAATTATCTTGTAACTGGGGATTTAAATTGTAATGTTAAATTACCATAAAAATGCCTGAACAGCGTAGTTTCAATTATGTTTTGTGTGTGTGTGTGTGTGTGTTTGATTGCCCTATTCTGTCTTTGTAAATCCAAAGTGTGTGGTCCTGGAAAGTTTTGAAAGAGTCATGAAATTTCATGTAATAGAAAGTGTAGTAATCCTTCTTCATGAATAATAGGCTATATATAGATTTTAAAAAAATTATTCGATTTGAATAAATCCTACCTAAATAATAATGTATCATTAAAAGCATACTAAATTATCACACACACTACAGCATATGATCACTTTCCTGCTCACATATTTGATTAACAGTTCTTGTGTGGATCTAGTCAAAATATGATGGTCATGTTTAGCTACTAATCCATCGAATGTGTACATACTTCAGCTGTTAAACCCAGTTACTGTGTACACACTTAATATTCAGCTGCTCTGTACATATTTACAAATCAGCTGCTGTGTAAATATTAGAAATTGAGCTGGAAATGTTTCTAAACCCAGCTACCCTGTACCTATTAGAAACTCAATTATACACTTTTGAAACCAGTTATTATACATACATTTAAGTATCATTTCTGTGTACATTTAAAATTTAAACGTTGTGTACACACTTTATATTCTGGCAGTATCTACCTATTTGAAACCTAGCTAATGTATTTGCTCAATGACTCTTATGTACTTAATTATGCAGGAGAGTACCAGTGGAGCAGCTACTTCTTCCCAGTTCTTGAAAGAGAAGACCAATCTTTTTCCACACCATCAGTCAAGCCAACCACTGAAACACTGTCACGTGCTGATAATGATTCAATATTAGGAACTAGTCAACAGTTCTCATTGGCAATGAGCAGTCTAAAACAAGTATTTACTCCTGTGTTGTATAGAGGAGTGTTTGGATTCATGACATGGTGGATATGCACTGTTTGGTTCACTACAAGTGCTATAGGTTTAATCTACCACTCATATTTTTTCAACTAAGTAGACATTGTTTTAATGTTATATCACAACCGTGCATGACTTCCCACACATGTTGCTCAGTTTAAATTTCAGTATTTTTCCAGATTTAATCACTTTGGTCTACTCTTCATTTACTTTTTTACTATATTTGTCAAGAGAGATATGTTTCAGTATATAGTTTTTATTCTTTTGTGGTGACTGATCACTGGAATATGTTTGTAGAATAGGAAATAGATTTTTTGTAATGGAAAAAAACAATCTATTAGACAGAGAATAAAATTCATGTGTAATTTAACATTTCCATTTGGCATTGTGAGTGAGTACAGTAGTTTTCATAATGTAGTATTTATATTCATAGATGAAGCAGTTTAATTTCTTAATGATAAACTATTGTAGATTAAATATAAATAAATTATTATACTTTAATCTCAGTAGTCCGTGCTATTTCATTGCTACTGTATTTTAGGTCAAAAAGAAGAACTAATGTACAATTTTTCTTCTAGTTATAATTATTTTGAACATGAAAATTCAGATGGTACACATTCACAAACATTAAAACAAATGTATTGAATATTATTTTTGTAGATAAAGTTTTCAGTTAAATTGAGTGAAGGAGAAAAAGTTTAATTGAAGATCTGTAGAACCTTATAATTTATGTAATTCTGTACATTATTAAATTTACTTTTTATTATCAAAATGATACAAACAGATATTCTTTTTAGGACTAAAGAATAATGTTTTGAAGCCTAGATGTTGCCCACCAAACTTTATTAATCTTGTTATTGGATAAAGAATTTCACTGTTGTGTGCCAAATACTCTATTACATATTTAAATCATTTGGTCTCATGTGGCTTCAGAGTTTATGTCTACGTAATTGCATTAACAATTAGATATGCCTTAAGAAAATCTTGATATTTTAGGTGTACTGGCCAGAAACGTTTTTTTTTGTTTTAGGCCTCTCCGAAAGCTGTTATATCCGAGAATTGATTATTGTCGTGTTTGCAAGATGTAACTACGTCACACCTCTCACTAGCATGAGCAAAATAAAAAAATAAAATACTGCATTCAGTATAGTAGGTAGGGTAGATTTTCAACAACAAAAAAAGCTTCATTAAAGAATTTTAAAAATTTCCAAGCGGAACAGAAAGAGTACCTTGGAGGAAACTTGATGAATCAGTCCATAATAAGATGTACGTGTGACATTTTTTTCTGAAATGCGGGATATTTCATTTATTTTTTGTTTGATCTTTTATTTAAAATGAATATATTTTAAAACGGGATTGTTTTGAAATGCTTGTTTACTTTTAGTACTTGACAAAAGATTTATTTATTTATTTAGGAGTGTTGGTGTTAGAAGTTTTCCAAGTAACAGAATAGCGAAATGTTCGTGTGAAAATGTTGTTCTATATACATATTGAATTGATCAAGAAGAAATAAAGTTATGAACCAGTTACGTTGTTTGAATTTTTATGAAGTTCGAAGTTACAGAAAATTAAGGAAAGTTATACTGAGGAAGATTATTATTAAACGAGCAACTTTGGGTGTTTGTATTTTCTGTGGTACAATGGAAATACATAAGCAGGTACTTCAATAAATATGGTACACCTAATACTAGATGTACTACTGCAGGGTCTCCGAAAATGTTGTGTTTCAAAGAGTAAATAAAACCAAAATTAAGAGTAACCAATATTTTTCTTGCTTTTGAAATTCATATGTCGTACTGTGTTGTAGCCTACACAGTTCATAATTCTTCTCGTAATTCATGGCATGCGCACGTTTTACTGACGTAACGACAGTACAAATTGCAGCATTAAGCGTCCTTTATGTGACGTCATTTTAGTATCTACTGGCTGACAGACAACAGTATTATATAGAGGTGCGAGTGGTTAAAACAGATGATCCCTCCAGGCAGCCTTCGCCCATCTCCACAGTGGCACAGCGGTATGTCTGCGGACTTACAGCTCTAGAAACAGGGTTTCGATACCCGTGGTGGGCAGAGAACAGATAGCCCATTGTTTAGTTTTATGCTTAACTTCAAACAAACAATTCGGCCCCCTTTCGGGGAAATAACTTCAGTAGTCGTAAATGAATAATAGTTGCCATTCATTAAAAACCCTCTAAAATATTATTCAACAATTTCACGCTATAGCAAGTACTGTACTATACATAAAAAATACAAATTAAATTGTTTGCTGTGTGCTACAAAATCTTAAGTCATACAAATAATAAGAATGTGAACATATTATAGAGATACACAAAAAGTTACTAACAGCGTAATGTGTCAAATTTGCTGACAACTCCAGTCTCACTCGTTACTTGCTGTTATACTAAAATTCTTCACTTGTTACTTGCTATTTTA